GTATCTGGCAGTATTTACCATGTTAGAAATAAAAACAAAAACCTTAATTTAATTTAAGCTTTAAATTAAATTAGAAATGAAAACTAAGACATTTTTAAAATATTTATTAATTCATTAGAAAATAACAAAAATAGACACATTAATCTTCCTCTAATTTGCCCAGACCAGTATTCTTTAACCCCACAAATTTAGTCAGTCATCAAAACTCATTCTTTCTTGCTATTTCTCAACTCCATTTGCTTCTCTCCATCCCACTGCCACTGCACTAGGTGGAAGCTATTTCCAGGATTACTGAAGCACTTCCTGTTGTCCATTTTTTATACTACAGCTCTAATAACCTTTCTAAATTGCTAGTCTGTTTTAAGACAGAATCATCTTCCACATTCCTTCCTTCATTCCGTTTTCAGACTATACTGAACTACTTGAGTTCCTTGACCTCCCTGTGTTCTCTTGCCTCTTGGCCTTCTCACATGTCCTGCTCTTGCCCATGTCCCCTTCCCCAGCTTACAATTGGATATCTCTCAGGGGTGAGAACCTGTAGCCTTGGGGCCACATGTGGCCTTCTGGATCCTTCATTGTGGCCTTTGACTGAATCCAGATTTTTCTTTGACAGAAAAAATCCTTTTAATAAAGGGATTTGTTTTGCAAAGTTTATATTTGGTTGAGGGGCTGCACCTGGGGTATCTGGAGGGCCACATGTGGCTGTGGTTTCTCCTTTGTACCCACACCCTCCCCAGGGCATCCTGAGCTTTTCTTTTTACAACTTTACTGATCTCTACTTCAATAAACAGGATATCTTTCAGGACAGAGACAGTTTTGATTCACCTTTATGTGTCTTCTGTGCTTAAGGAATGCTAATGCTAGGCTGGCAGCCTCCATCCTTCCACCCTTCTCTCCCTCCCACCCTGTGACATGTGATTAAACACCTGACTTAGTAGATACTTAATAGATGCTCAATAAATATTTAAAGAATGAGTGAATAGCCCTACTCCTAAACATTGGTTTGGAATGTGTTCACACAATGCAGCACAGAGCTGTGGAAAATGGGATCTAATGTTAATCAGCTGTCGAAGTCACCTGGTATAGCTTTTCAACCCCATTGAGTTTGAAGAGATGGAAGTGGCCAAACTGTTGAAACGGCTCTTTGGTGCTGTTTGAGAATGGTTGTAGGCCTTGGCTGAAATGTCACAGCCTCCCACTGTTCTTACCAAGTTTTTGTAAATTCTGTTTAAAAAATGTGTCTCAATTTGTTTAAGCTCTTTGATCAATCTCTAGAGACTTTCAATGATTATATTAATTTTGACCAACTTAATAGATGTCTCTCTGTCTAGGAGAAAG